TACTTGGTACTGCATTACGGCAAACAGCAATGTTTAAGCAGCCATATCTTGCTTCACCGTGAGCAATGCACCGCCAATGAGGTGGGGAGTTGGCGTGATATCTCCCTCACGTCATACATGTGTGGATGGTTCTCCCATGGTGGTGCATAATAGGCCGAACAATTAGGTGTGTAATAGGCTGCACAACTTCACATGCATCAAGCTCAGATAGAAAGGGATTCGTAGTCTTAAAGAGGACATGCGTCTGAGCTGGGGGCAATTTAGTAGTCTTAAAGAGGACATGCGTCTGAGCTGCAGGCAATGACAGTGCGGTGTCTCCGTTTTAAAACCCCATTTAAATGCGGAACATTTCCTTCAAGATACTTTTGGTAAGCAAGATAGACACTTTTGATACTTTTTTTGATACTTCAAGATACTTTTGGTAAGCGCAGTCTCGTTCTCAAAGTTGCCCGATTTCTGTCATCCGCTGTGCTGTTGCCGCCTAATTGAAGAAGGAAGCGGTCGATGTTCTTCATATCTTCTCACATTGCATGGCAGAAAGTCCTTCACTTCAGCGGTCCCGCGTTGCCCTACTTTTGCTGTCGCCGAATATATGGATACGTTTCGTAAGCTAATGGTTATATCACGTCTATTGGGGGTGCGATGCCGTACCCATGTGATTTCGTCTTCAGCGAAGTTTTAACGCGAGATGGCCAGGTCATCGCAGCACTCTCAAGTGCCAGTAATGAATCAGTCAAAATGGCCCCATCCCATTAAACCCATGCCTAATAAATAGCAGGGAAGGCGCATGGCTGGCAGACTGGATGGGCTGCTGCCGACGGCGCCGAGGGCGTGCCTGGCCGGCCGACAGTCGTCGGACCGTCTCCGGGCGCGTTGGTCGCCGTCACGGGCCGCTGCCGGCGACAGCTGTCCGGCCGCCGCGCGCCGAGAGCCTGTCGGGACGGGCGGCGGGGACTTTTTCTGCCGTCATATGTTGTCCAGTTCAGTGACGGGGTTTTCACCCGAGACGAATCGATAGGGCTGTCACCGGACGACGGACGCCGCCACGGCTCCGCTGGTTGGCCGTGGTCAGGTACACGCCGCCACGGTCGTGTGTAGTGGAAGGCTTTGAGTCAGTGGGTGTGTAGGTCCGGAGTTCCAAGCCTCTCTGTGGCATATTTTACGATCGATGGTGCAGACGTTACGGACGATCGTGACAGCGGGCGGATGAAGACGCGGCTCGTATGGCTGTGCAGCGTTGTATGCCTTACTATGTAATCACATGCGCATTATTTAACATTCGGCCCATGAACGTTCTAGCCTCTTTTGTTAGATTAATCGTGGTGTTGTGCCTTTTCGCCTACTGTTATCGACAGCCTAACGTGAGCATGCCCGGACATGATCCGGTTAGTTGTCACGTAGTCGTAGTGATCACACTCCACCTTTTTCTCCATAAATGAGACAGCTTGATGGCGTCATGTGGAGAAGCATCCACCGGTCGTATCTGATCCCATCTGACGTTCTCTGCAGCCGCATAATCGGATCAGTGTCTGCCTGTCGCCTTTTATGACCGCAAGACGCAGTATGTTGCAAGCAGTTGCTGTCATCCTGCACCCTTCGCTGACGGTCGTTTTCTCTGTTTGCAGCGCTCGGCTGTACCCCGATCACCACCAAAGATACACATAATATCTCAATGTTCTGTTGCAATAATTCAGGGCAGTTAGTCAGCGTAAGTATGTCCACTCATGGCTGTCGGCCATACGGCGCTTAGCCCATCCTACTGTATGTCTCCTTCCTTTTGAGTGTTATTGATGTCTGTTATTGAATGACGCACCCACCGAAGCTCGTCAGATTGTTATTGACATCATATTGACGCTCCACTGTATGCTGGATTTTCATGTCAATCGTTGAGTCGCAATTTACCCGCGAGGTGATTATGAGACGAAGTATAATGTTAACGGCCATATAGTGAGTTCTCGCACTGTGTCTACGGCATCAGCGTATTGACGCCCTCCACTGCTGCGCGAGTTAATGAGTCACGCTGCTCCGGTGCAATGTCTGATGCCCGGGGCGGAAGCTCCCGCCGGCGGCTGACGTCATGTGCCGCCCAGTGCGGGCTGATGTCGAGCCGCCGGCGGGCCCGCCTGACGCCGTGTGGCGGCGGCGCTGACCGCTGGTGGCCGCGCGTGAGCGGTGACACGCTCGCCGCTGCCGGCAGGCCGGCGCGACCGGCGCGTCGCGGGAGGTCCATTCCAGAGGTGCGGACGGCCCGCCGGCGGCCCGCGCTCCTCAAGTGCCTGCTGATGCCGTGAGTGTCGGGTCCGGCCTGGTCCCACTCGGACCCCCTTGTCCGACTCGGGAGCCCTGGTCCGGCTCGGGCCGCGCTGAGACCCGCCGCGCGGGGGGAGGGGGCGCCACAGCGCGGCTTGGGTCGCTGGCTGTTGCCCGCGCGGAGTGTCCAGCTCGGCGTGTGGCGCCGATTAGCCTGGCTGACTGGCGCCGTGCCGTACCGACGCTGCTGTCCCCCCGGGCCCGGCTGGCGAACCAGTTGGGCACCAGTGTGCTGGCTCGGTGGTGGTCTGTTTGGTCGCCGCGGTGTGCGCTAGTCTGTCTGTGGTTGGAAGCTGGCTGTCGCGTGTGCCTCCTGGTTTTCTTTTCTTACCTTTTTTTGCTTGTAGGCGGTCCGGCGAGCCGGAACTGCTCGCCACCTGAGGTGTGGGATCGTGTGATCCCCCTGTCGCCCGTCTGTTGCCAGGTGTCGTACCTGTCATCCTTCTGCCACCCTTCTGCTGTCGTTATGCCACCCTCGTGTCCACCTTTCTCCGTCAGTAGCCCCATTGTTGACCTTATTTCAGCACCTTGTCGCTCCTCTGTCACCCCGATGACCACTGCGTCATCCGCTCGCTGCTCCACCCCAGTGACTCCTCCGCTGTCCTCGCTGTCACCCTCGCCACCCGTCTGTCAGCGCCGGGTGATGGCCGCGCGCGCCGCCGTGTCTGACCGGGCGTGTGCCCGTGCGTCGGCAGGAGGAGGTGGCGAGCACGCCGGCGGCGCCGTGGCACGGTCCGACCTCTGCGCCCGGTACGTGACGCGCCTCCGCACGGCGCGACGGACGCAGCCGACACCTGTCGCCGGCCGCCGCTGACGTAGTGGCCTGCGTGCCCCCAGCCTGTGGAGATGGATGTAGGGGGGGGGGGGGGGGGGGCGAGGGTACTGTTTTCTTGGCGTCGTTGGCGTGTGCTGTGGTTTGCTTTGGTTATAGCATAGGTCGCTGTCTGCACCTGCTGACATGTCTGTGCCGCCGCCGCTCCGTGCTGACGGTGGCGGTGTGTGTGTGACCGGTACGTGACCCGCTCCGTCTGCCGCAGCCTCTGGGGACGCCGCCGCCGCCGGCACGTCCTCTTCCACTGTGATATGCGCTCCGTCCACCGAACCCGGCCGCGCGCAGGTCAGAGTCGACCGGCGGGCTGGGGCGCGCCGCGGCGGGGCTCGCCACGGCGGCCCGGGCAGGCAGGGAACGGGGCCGGCGCCGTGTAGGCACAGGTGGCTGGCTGGCAGAGTCGGCCGCCGTTGTGTTGTAACGATCGTCGGCCAGCGGTACTGCGCCCGCCGGCAGTACCTGGCGGTCGATAGTTGATGCGGTCCAAACTGAGCCATCGTGCGGGTCATGCGGCCGGGGACTGTTGGTGTTTGGCGCTGCCACGCCATGCCGGGCTGGAGGGGCTAGCCCAACGGCGCTGCCCTCGCCGCTGTCCGCTGTGTGTCCACTCGTGTCCAACTCAGTCCCCATCATCGTGCCGTGATGCCAGGCGCGTGGTCTGCTGTTTCGGCTGCGATCTCGTGTTCACCGCTCCAGTGTTGCCTTAGTCCCGCGCCTGTCCTCTGTTGTGCGCTCTGCTTTCGCTGTGCCCATGTTCAGCCTCCCTCCGCCTGACTGACGCTCGGCTCGCCGACAGCTGGACCCGGCGGCGGAGGCGGCCGCGGTGGCTTCGCTGTGGCGCGCGCGGCCGCGGGGCCCGGCCAGCGCCGTCGGCTGGGCGCTGCCGGCCTGGGCGCGGCTGGCCGGCGGCGGCGAGAGCACCGGCAACAACGGCGCCGGCGGCTGGGGCGCGCCGCCGCCGGCCGGCGTCGCGGCTCCGGCCGCCGGCACCGGCAACTGGGGGCAGCCGGCGCCGCCACCCGCTCAGTGGGGTGCCGCGGGTCGACCGGGCGCCGCCGCCGCGCCGCCGCCGGGCGCCCAGGCACCGCCGCCGGGCGCCGGCGCTGCCAAGAATGGTGCTGGCGCCGAGCAGGGCGCGCCGCCGGCGGCTGGACCGGCGGCGCCGCAGGGCGCCGCCGCTGGACCGCGTGGCGGGCCGCAGAGTGAAGGTGAGCTGAGCGACGGGCGGAGCTGGTCTGGAGTGTGGAAACCGAGCTCGCCGTGGTATCGCTGGTTGGCGGTGGCGGCTCGGCTGGGACTGGCCCGAATACGGAGGCCTTGTGGCGCTCATGCGCTGTTAACGGTCAGGCTCGCTCAGACATTACCACCGTCCGTTGCACGGGCTTTCATTGGCTGCCTTTCCTCAATTAATCTTGGTCTGTGCTCTCTGGGGGATTGAACTGCCAGAAATAGCGATGATATCGTTCAAGGAGGTGCTGACATGACTGCCCGGCGAGCCAGGACCGCGCACAGCTGCGCGCCGGCCCAGCAGCCTGAGCTTTTTCAGTCAGTACACTGCTTGGCCTGGGCACTCGAACGGTGCTGCCGTCGAAGCCGGCTGCTGGCCGATCCGCTGCGCCGTGTCGCCCGGAGCATGTGACCTAGACGGCGGCCTGGCACCGGCCGGCTTCCCTCAGGCGTCCGCGCCAGCCGGTGGGAGCGCCGGTGAGCCAAGGCGCGGGCGCCTGTCACCGCGGCGCCGTCTGACCCCGACTGGGCGCCGACAGGCGGCGCAGCGGCGGGCGGCGCGGCCGTGACGCCGGCGGCGACGGCGCCGGCCGGCGGCGGCGCCGACACCTCTGACCTGGAGCGGCTCAAGGCGATGCGCGCCGCCATCACGGCCACCGAGGGCTGGTCCAGCAGCCAGGTGAACCAGGACAGCAGCTGGGACATGCCGGCCAGCCCTGAGCCGGCCGACAAGGAGCCACCCGGCAGCATCGTGGCCTGGAAGCTGCCAGGCGTCAACAACGGTGAGCGGGCCGGAGCGACGGTGGCGGGGTGGCACAGGGCGCGCATCGTCAGGGGGTGCCGACTGAGGAGGGTGGGGTACGAGTGGGTGGGTGCCGCAGGAGACGGGTGGAGTGCCGGCTTGGGTACAGAGAGGGGCAGAAGAATCGACGGGAGAGAAGGAGGGGAGGGGGGTCTGTCTGTGGTCTCACGGCCGTGGCATGCGCACGTGGTGACGGTGTCGGTGGTGCAGCCGTCTGCGCGTGATCATGGTCGTCTGGCGTCGAGGCAGATGTGCTGGCGTTGCGGTGTTCTGTGGGTGTGTCACGATGTGTGTGATGGTGACATGTCAAACGTACGCAGCCGCAGCCGGTTATTGGCGTCCGGTCCCGGCGCGGGCGTGTGGTCGGGCCGGTTCGTCTGGACGACGGGCCGTGCCTAAGCAGTCTCAGTGACCGGCAGGCCGTGTTTTTGTTGTATGTTAACGAATGTAGCGGCCAAATTCAGGAGTGTGGCCGCCTTTGTCTCGATCTGAGATCACCGAGCGTGCGCCGCGGCGGGAGCCGGAGCCGGACCCGGCCGCTGGATCCGGAGTCGTAGCCACCCCCCCCCCCCCCCGCCCCACGCGCGGCCCCAGCGGCTGACGCGCCCCCTGGCGGCCAGGTCTCGACGTGTGGCAGGTGACCGTGCGGAACGGCGGCGCGCCGGCCGTGAAGCCCGCCGAGGCCCAGTGGCCTCACCACATCCCGCAGTCCAACATTGGCGGTACCTGGGGCGAGGACGACGACAGCCAGGTCAGTCGCCCCCTCCCCCCCCCCCTTCCGCCACAGAACGCTCGATGGCCTGCGCTGTTGGGAGTCTGTTGCCCTCACCATTTGTGGACTACAACCGGCGGGTAATTTATGGTGTCGACGGAAACAGACCCTGTGTGACGTCTTAACTTGCTGGCATGCATTTGCCGACGGCAGATTGGATGACTGCAGCGTTTTGGCGGATGTAATTTGCATACAATTTCGCCTTGTACCGTCATTTTGTGGCAATATTTCACTAAGTGGGAAGTGCTTGGTGCGAGGACGTTTCGGTGCGACAGGTAGCCCAGTCGCCACCGCAGATTTGTTCGACGAACGGCGCGTTGCACGGCAGCCACTGCCCGTCGGCCGTTGTCCTGTCGCCCGTGCCGTTCCGTTGGCGCCCTGTTCCCGGCGTGACCATGCCTGGGTGGGCTGTGCTCCTCCCCAGCCGGGTGGAATGTGGACGGGTGCTCCGTCCGGCCCGCCCGGCGGCCAGTGGGGCGGCGCGGCTGGCGGCGGCGGCGGAGGTGGCGGCGGCGGCGCCCTCTGGGCGGGCCCCGGCAAGAAGGAGGAGTGGTCGGGCGCCAAGCCCTGGGACGGCCGCGGCGCACCCAACGGCGACGGATGGGGTGAGCACGACACAGCGACAGAGCGAGAGAGCGAGAGAGCGAGAGGGGGAGAGAGAGAGGGGGAGAGAGAGAGAGGGGGGAGAGAGAGAGAGAGAGAGAGAGAGAGAGAGAGAGAGAGAGAGAGAGAGAGAGAGAGAGTCATTGAGTCCATGAGTCCGTGAGTGAGTCAGTGGGTGGACTGTGCGGCGGTGAACTGTGCGACGGCCGCGGCGACATGGAAACAGCAGCTGGGATCGAAGGCTCCAGTATTCAGTGTTACCATATGTACAATATCATGCTAGTGCTGGTGGCCAAAAATTACGGGCATTAGTAAGTTCGCTGTACGGGACGTCATCACTAAGGCGTTCCGTCACGGCACAGGACGTTGACGCCTTAGTGATGACGTCGGGCTGTGCCGGCGGTGGCCGGGCGCCGCGCCGCCGGCGGCCGCTCTTACACCGAGGCAGCGTCGTCATCGCGTGACGGCGGTCCTCCTCCGGCAGGTGCCAAGCCGCCGTCGCAGTGGGGCGGCCCGCCGCAGCACGGGCCCGGCAACTGGGGCGACGACCGCTCGCCGCCCATGGCTCGCCGGCCCATGGGCTTCGACGACTGGGGTCAGTCGGCTGGCCGTAGTGCCGGGGTGGTGGTGCCTGTGCCTCTACGTCATCTCTCTTTGTGCTCAATCGGTGGCGACCAGGATAAAGCCGGTGGTGTTGTCAAGGCAATGGCTTTTACGCACTCGTGACGTCCGCTTCATTCGGCCTCGGTCTGACGGAACGCACTGTTGTGTGGCCGGTTGGTCCGACATGTGGTATACATGTAGCGCAGCAGAGCGGATGCGGTTCAATGTTTTGTTTTTTTCATTCGGAAATATGGCCGCGAACAGCCTTAGCAGCTGGCGCTGCCTTAGGCGCCAGTCATCGGTGCTCAAGCAGATATCTGGCCGCATTGTCTCTTCTCTTCGTGTGCTTGGAGCGTGTTCGTGCCGTGCCTCTCCCTACCCCCCCCCCCCCCTCCCCCCTGACGTGCCGCCGCACCTGCAGGCAACAAGCGCGGCGGCGGCGGCGGCGGCTGGAAGGAGCTGCCGGTGCGCCCTGGCCTGCCGGGCGGCCCGCCGGCCTCGCACATGCTCTCGCGCTTGCCGCCGGGCCCGCCCGACCACAAGGGCGTCGACCCGTGGGGCCGGCCGCCGCGCAACGGCTGGGGCGAGGCGCCGCCGGGCCCGGCCGGCTGGGACGACAAGTGGGCCGGCGACGGGCCGGCGCTGTGGGCCGGCAAGCCCAAGACCCCCACCGGGCCCGGCATGCCCGGCGGATGGGGCGAGCCCGACATGGACTGGGCGTCCAAGGTGAGGCGCCGGCACGGGGTCTGGGAGCTGGGTGTGGCGGAGGTGCTGGGGCGTGCGTCGTGAGGTGTGGCCCACTACGGCCTGTGCCTGCCTGCGTGCATGCGTGCGTGCGTTCGTTCGTGTTGGACACGCCGAGGCGTCGGCCAAGGTGAGGCCGGGAAGGCGGAGGGATGGAGGCCGCCGGCGCTGGCGAGGCACGCCGAGAGCGGAGTAGACGGTGTGCCGTGTGTGCGGCGCCGCCGGTCTGGTCTGTCGTACTGTCGGTCGGCTGGGCTGTGTGTAGGCGTCGCCGAGCTCTCCTGTGACAGTCCGCTTGTGGGATGCACCAGTGTGTTTGGCGGCGGCGGCGGATCCAAGTAGGACTGGACTCCGGCGGCTAGTGAGTTCGCGGAAACCAGCCTCACTCGTGTGGATGGCTGCCACCCCCAGTGACAGCTTCGAGCCGAAGCCTGGGGATCTCAGAATCGTGCGTGTTGTCACCCCGTTCTGTCCCCGGCGGGCGCCGCGCTGTCCGCCGCATGCCGTCCGTCTGCGCCTGTGTGTGTGTGACCTGTCTGCTAGCCGTGGCCGCCCCGTGGTGCCGTGTTGGTCGTCCGCGTGCCGGTCCGTCCGTCCGTGGCCGGAGAGCGGCGGTGTCCGTCCCGGCCGTGTGTGCGGCGCCGCCGCCGCCGGCCGCGGGCGCGCCAGTGAGCCGGCCGCCACTCTCCCGACAGGGCCGCGGCCCCGGCGTCGGCCACGCCAAGAACCCGATGTACGACAAGGGCCGCTCGCTGCCGGACCACGGCTTCAAGGTAGGCACCCGCCGCTGACATTCCCAGCAGCGCTGAGCTGACGCCCGCGGCTGCCGACCGCTCGCAGTGCTGAGCCGTCCCCAGGGCGCGCCAGACGACGCCGCTGCCCTGCGGCTGCTGCCGCAGGCTGGTGGCATCAGCGGCACGATTGCATGGCACCCAGCGGTGTTCACTGGCCAGACCTGGTGCCTGTATGTCCTGATCGGCATCCTGTTGGTGTCGCCCACTCCCGGTCTGCTCAGCCGGGCTCCAGTGCGACCCACTCCCGGTCCGCTCCGGCGGGCTCCAGTGCCGCCCACTCCCGGTCTGCTCCGGCGGGCTCCGGTGTGGCAGTCGGCTCTGTCCAAATTCGCACCACTCCCGTCCCCTCCGTTCAGCGCCGCCGCCTCCTCGCAACACGCTGCCTGCCAGCTGTGTGCAGTCCGGCCCTCGCCTGCCAGCTCTGTCCAGACCGGCCTTGCGGCTGCCGCAGACGTCGGCCGACGCTTCGGCCGGACACGCCCGCACCCCGTGTGACCCCTCTTGAGCGTGAGGCGTGAGCGCACGCCGTGGCCTGCCCTGCCTCGCCCCGCCCCGGTGACCCGGCCGCTCTGTGACCTGGCTGCGTCCCCGTGACATAAGCAGTGTACCGCCTGAGTTCTGCCTGCTCGCCCCGCCCCGTCTGCCCTCCCCGTGACCTGACCCCGGCCCTGACCCGGCTGCGGCGGCCCGGCAGCCGGAGGATGTGGACCCGATGCTGCGCGGCAACATGATGCTGACGCTGGAGGACGCCGTCGACCAGCTGCGCATGGGCGGGCCCGGCGGCGACTGGCGCGCGCCCGACCACCCGCCCTTCGAGCCGGCCGGATTTGCCCAGATGCCGCCGCCGCACGTGCAGTACGGCGGCGTCCAGCTGCCGGCCGCCGCGGTGAGGGCGCGCTGGTGGGCCGGGCGGTGAGGGAGGGTAGGGACACCGGGATCGGGCCATGGAGCTTGGTGACGTGTTGCTCACGTGTCTTGAGGTGGAGCTGCTGCCATGCTGCTATGACAGTCACCCCTCCTCCAACTGCTGGCGGTTGAGCATGTCGTCGCTGACGCCGCCTCTGAGCCGTAGCTAGGTCAGCTCGGTCGTGTCTGTACTGAGCGCTGACGCCGGTGTTGGCCGCAGGCTCCGAATGCGGGCAACATCAACCCGGCCGTGATCCAGCAGCTGCTGCGTCAGCAGGCGCAGGGACAGCCGTCCCGCTTCCCCGGCCAGGTGAGCGGCTGGCAGCGGCTGCAGGGTGGCGGCTGGCGGATCAGACGCTGACCCGCACGGCACGATGTTTTGGCTTTATCTGCGTGTCGGCTGCAGCTGTGATTTTGCGCAGAATACTTGGTCAGGCGGGCGTCACATAGACGACACCCTTGGCGCTGATCTTCAATCGCCTTTGTGTGACATGTTCAAAGGAAGCCCACTTGTGGAGTTGGCGTCTGAAGGAAGGCGGTCTGAGCTCTTCTGTGTGTGATTGGTGCTTTACGACGTACTCAGCTGACTTCCGAATCTGGAATCTGGAATCGAACCCCGTACCTCTGGTTTCCTAGACGCGCGGCTTAACCACTACACTATCGCTACCCCCGCTGCCCAGGCAGTTGATTTTTCCCAAGCGAGACATGTCACATAAACAAGGATCATGGCATTCTGCGAATTGTTAAGGGTATGCCCTCCGCGAGTGCAAGCAGTCGGACGGGGGCCTCTAGTTGACGTTTGTCTCAGCTAGTCTTCAGCGCGCATGCTTCTGGAACAGGATAACCAGCCTTTGGGTGCGACTGATCAACGGTCTGGCCAGGCGTCGCCGTCTGCCCGGCTGGGGCCTATCCCAAGAGACAGGTGCCAGACGCCTCATCAGCGCCTGCCCCCTGTGTGTGACGAGGGATCGGTCTGACCTGACGCCATCTGCTCGGCTGGGACCTCTCCCAGGAGACAGGTGTCAGACGCCTCATCAGCGCGTGCCCCCTGTGCGGCGAGGGGTCGGTCTGACCTGACGCCATCTGCTGGGCTGGGACCTCTCCTAGGAGACAGGTGTCAGACGCCTCATCAGCGCCTGCCCCCTGTGTGTGACGAGGGGTCGGTTTGCCCTGACGACACCGCTGACTGGACCGCGCACGCCGGCAGCCGCAGCCGCAGCCGTCGCCGCAGCAGCTGCGTCCTCTCATCAACCAGATCCAGATGGCGGTGCACGCGGGCCATCTGAACCCGGCCATCCTGCAGCAGCCGATGGGGCCGCAGACACTCATCCTGCTCAACCAGCTGCTCAGCCAGATCAAGGTGAGCGCCGCCGGCTGTCGGTCGACCTGGTCGGCGGCGGGCGGTGTGCGGAGACGAGGCGGAGCGGGCGGCTAGAGCCGCAGCCAACCGCGGTGGACAATCGGCCGCGGATTTCGCCGACGTCTCTTGCGATTTGATGCTGTTTGGTGTTGCGGCGTTGGGTCTGTTGGACGTGGACGCTCACCACGCTGTCCGCCCAGTGACGGCTCAGGATCCATCGCGCGTCGCGCGGTGCTGTTAGGCCGTCCCGGACGGACGCTGAGTGGGGGGGGGGGGGGGGGGGGAGGAGAGTGACGTGCGCTGTGGCTGGTGGGGCCACAGGGAGGTGAGGAGGGCCCGGCCTGTGCGGTGGTGTGCGCCTTGTGACCGCCGTCTCCTCGCCGGCAGCACATGGACCAGCTGAGCCGCCAGGCGCACCTGACACGCGGCCACCAGGGCAACTCGCCGCACGTGCACACGCTCCAGATGGAGATCATGCGCGTCAAGAGCAACATCTCCAACATCCAGGTGAATGGACGGGAAAAGCTCCCTTCCCCTCCCCTTCCAGCCCTCAGCTCTCAGCTCCCCTCGTAGTGCTCAGCTTTCAGCTTCCCTCATAGCTCCCAGCTCTCAGCTCTCTGCTTTCTGTGTGGGGTTCGCACCACTGTGACAAACGCTGAGTGAAGGGACATGTGGTGATATGGTCGCGGAATCCGGAGAAAGGCGGAGCGGAGGTGTAGAAACGCCTTGGGGAGAAATGAGCGAGAGGATTCGTGAAGCCGCAGTAAATTGGCGCAAGCGAATTAGGCTCGGGCGTTGCCAAGCCGAACTTGGCTGTCGTGCGCAGCCGGGTCGCTCGGAGACGAACTGTCTAGCCGTTCGTCTCTTGTCCGAACGCGACCACGCGCCCAGAATCGCGCCCTGAGCGGGGTTATCTCTTGGTCGCTCTCAGAGGGAGATTTGACGTTGAAAATGATTGCCAGGGGCGAGTCATCGCATATCCTTTTCATAGACCTTCAGCAACTAGATAAGGCGGTAGTAAAAGTCTTATTCCTCAGAGAAAAACCAGGAGAACGGAGTTGTAGTTGGGTTGATATTTTGACAACATGCCGTCATCGAAGCAGTAGCAGAAGTGAATTCATTTCTGCTTTTGGGAAATTGGATCAATATCGAAACGATGACAGAAGTGACGTCACTTCTGCTATTGTTTCGATAAAGGCGTATTGCCGAAATATCAACCCATCTATGTCTCCATTCTGGTTTTTCTCGGAGGAATAAGGCTATTACCGCTGTATTATGTGAGTAATGTTCCTCGCCAATGCGCTGAACAGCTTACGTAATTTTAGCACAAGCAACTAGATGATATCTCCCTGCGACGACATCCACGGCCGGGAATCGAACCCGCGCCTCCGCCGCGGTCGTCGACCACATGCCAACTGTGCTCTGCCGCCGCCGACAGAGCCAGATCGCTAGCCAGCAGGCGCTGATGCTGAAGCAGCAGCAGCTGCAGCTGGGGGCGGGCGCCGGCGGCGGGCCGCTGCTCTACAAGCAGGGTCCCAGCCACGGCGACCTGCACGGCCTGCCGACCAACCTGGGCGAACTGTCGCTGCGCGAGGGAGGCGGCCCCGGCGGCGGCGGCGGGCACATGCCGCAGAGCCGACTCAGCCAGTGGAAGCTGCCCACCTCCGATAAGGTGAGCCGGCCGGCAGCCGCCGGAGCTGCACGACCAGCCGGAGCGTCGCCCCGCTGATGACGCACTGGCCGGCTCGACGGAAGGCACGCAGACGCCGTTGTGTTGATGTCCGAGGTACTGCTATGTTGGCTGTCGGAACTTGTACGGTCGGTCACGCAAAATCGCGGTCCCCAACGGCGGCAGCGCAGCGAGGCTGCCGAGCTGGCTATCTGAGCTGCAGAGCCGTGTGTCGGTAGTCTGGCGGTGGCATTGTCGGGTCTCGCGTGGGGAGGTGGTCACCAGCGGCGCCCGGAGCAGTCCCGGTGTTGCCTCGGAGGTTGCAAGGGACTGTCACTGTGCGCTAGGCAGCTCTCCTGTGAAGCCGTGAAGTATTCCGGCAGCGCTGTTGTCTGGGGCCATCTGCGCTGGCGGCCGGCGTATGGTCACATGTTATTGTCCTATGACGGTGAACGGTCGCCTGGATGACTATGGCAGCTTCTGCCAGGTCGCACGATGTCTCGCAGTTCTGCGTCGTTTGAGAGTCATGCTCTTAAAAGTTAGTGCTGAAACGAAAATTTTCCGTCGTGTCCAGCCTTTGCTGTAACTTGGTCAACACACACGCATTTCCTGACGGCACATCTGTCTGACAGAAACAGAGCAAAGGTGGTTTGCTCTGAAAATGGTTGCTTATGCGGCATTCACGCAGGGTTGTTCATTGAGCGCGGCATTGGCACCCATGACCAGTGAAAGCCTGCTATCACTAAACAAACGTATTTTGCCTGGAATGGTCGAAACCGTCTGTACTCCTCAAAACACCAAATCAGGCACAAGCATTGTAATGAACATGCTGCCCAATAGGTGAACACGGAAGCGTCATGCTCTACGAGCGATCACTATTGAATAATGTGTCAGTTCACAAGTGAGTGCGGGACCTTGATAAACCACGAGCGATCGCCAGTGACCGCTACAACAGCTGACCTGTGAACGAGGAGCGGTGTGTAACCGGGCCCGCCCGCCTCTGCAGCTGCTGCGCGGTGACGAGGAGTTCTCGCGCGCGCCCGGCTCGAGCAGCAAGACCGGCGGCTCCCCGCCGATGTCGCTGATGGCCGAGAGCGCCTGGTCGGCCAGCCGGGGCGGCCGCGACGGCGGCTGGCCCGAGGGCGGCGCGCCGGCCACGCCTGCCGCCGACCGCCAGGACAGCAAGGACGGCTGGCCCGACACGCCCGGCAGCGGCGGCGCCGCCGGCGGCGGGCACAACTTCGCCGACCTCGTGCCCGAGTTCGAGCCGGGCAAGCCCTGGAAGGTGGGTGCTGCGGAGCAGGGCGGTAAACGGCACGGGGCACCCATGGGTCGCGATGTCGACGCAGTGGGCGTAAAATGGCCTCAGAAGTCGGCGCGCCGTAAACTCCAATCATCGTTATGGTTGATACAGTCGACGCGCCTCAGTAACCATTAACTTTTAACGTAGCTAATGAGCCCAAGTAAGTAATAATATTGCCGATGGATGATGGGGTCCATGAGTGATCCCTGACCAGGGAGAATGCGGTCTTGTTGAAACGTCGTCCCGGGATCCAAAGTATCGCTATTACCATGGCGACACTGGTTGTTGTGCTGGCTCTAATCGCCACCTGAAACCGCAGCCATGTGGTGGTGTGTCCTCCGCTGTATACTCAGCAGTGTGTGACGCCCGCGTCCCGTGCGGATCCGCCTCATGCTCGCGGTGACTGCTCTGTTCCCGTGTGTCGCGCAAAATGTCCCCGGCCGTCGGCGCGCCCGTAAAGCCCAATCATGGTCCTCATCATCTGTTCGCGCGTCCAGACGCCGTTGGTTGAGGACGACCTGCCGCTGTCGCCGGGCGCCGCCGCTGGGTCCCCTGGCAGTGTCCCGTGCGGTGTCCTGACCCGTTTGCCGACCGTCAGATGAAGTCGGCCGAAGACGATCCGTCGATGACGCCGGGCGCCGCCGCCCGCTCGCCGCTGGGCCTGGCCGCGGCCGGCGGCGGCTCGCAGGACCTGCTGGCCAACATGCAGCCCGGCAAGGCGTCGCCCACCAGCTCCAGCGGCGACACCTTTGGCAGCTCCACCTGGAGCTTCAACCCCAACAGGTGCGAGGGCGAGAGATGCGGCCGTGCCAGGTATGAGAGGGCGAGAGATGCGGCCGTGCCAGGTACGAGGGCGAGAGATGCGGCCGTGCCAGGTGCGAGGGCGAGAGATGCGGCCGTGCCAGGTGCGAGGGCGAGAGATGCGGCCGTGCCAGGTGCGAGGGCGAGAGATGCGGCCGTGCCAGGTGCGAGGGCGAGAGATGCGGCCGTGCCAGGTGCGAGGGCGAGAGATGCGGCCGTGCCAGGTACGAGGGCGAGAGATGCGGCCGTGCCAGGTGCGAGGGCGAGAGATGCGGCCGTGCCAGGTAGGAGGCCGGAATAGCCAGCCCCGAACTAGAGCTTCAGACTGCAGCCATCCTTCATCCTCAATCCAGGCCACCCTCGCCGTTCGGACCAGTCTTCCGGTTTCCGTCCGCTGTCGCGATGGCAGCCCCAGCGGTTACGCAGCTCCGGTTAGCCACAACTCTGACCAACTCCTCCTCGTTTCTGATGGGCCCTCTGGCCGCGTCCACGTTTCTGGTTGGCTGCTCTGACCTCGTATCTCATTGGCCTCGGACCGCCTTCTTGTCTCCGATTGGCCGCTCTGGTCGCCTCCTCGCCTTTGGTTGGCTGCTCTCGCTGCCTCATCGTGTCTCATTGGCCCCTGACCGTCTCCCCGCCTCTGATTGGCAGCGGCAAGCCGGGCATGGGCGGTGGCGGCGCCGGCAAGTGGGATGGCACCGACTGGGGCTCCAAGTCGCGCGGCCCGCCGCCTGGGCTCAACAAGAGCGGCTGGGGCGGCGGCGGCGGCGGCGGCGGCGGCGGCGGCGCTCTGGGCCGCGGCGGCGCGCCCTTCGATCAGCGCTCGGCCTTCGCTCAGGTGCAGGGCGGCGGCTGGAGCGGCGGCGGCGGCGGCGGCGGAGGTGGCGGCGGCTCTGCTTGGCTCCTGCTGCGCAATCTCACCGCGCAGGTGAGCCTCGGTGCCTCTCTGGACCCGCGGTTATGACCACATTGGCAGCTGGATGAGAGCGACGTGTTGCAGTCAGTAATGTCACGGAATGCTTGGGTGCATTTTTGATATGATATTCAAGCAAAGAGCAGGATCAATTTTCCGTTTTTTCGGAGCCCCAGTTAGCCGCTTCTGTATGTGGAATTACGTCAAATGGATGATGTACCCAACTCAGCATGTAATATCACTCAGATTTGAAGGGATTTGGTATACATTGTGTTTTTTCACCTCGAGCGTTTACTACGCAGCGTCACGTTTCTCGGGCCGGATTGTCGGACGCCGATATGTAAGCTGTCGGCCCAGCTGGCATCCCCGTCCCGAACACTTCTGTCTGTGCCGCGTCCCCAACATTTCTGTCTGTGCCGCGTCTCCAACACGTCTGTCTGTGCCGCGTCTCGAACACTTCTGTCTGCGCCGCGTCTCGAACACTTCTGTCTGTGCTGCGTCTCGAACACTTCTGTATGTGCCGCGTCCCCAACGCTTCTGTCTGTGCCGCGTCTCGAACACTCCTGTCTGTGCTGCGTCTCGAACACTTCTGTCTGTGCCGCGTCTCGAACACTCCTGCCTGTGCTGCGTCTCGAACGTCTCTGTGGCGTTGTCGGCAGATCGACGGCTCGACGCTGAAGACGCTGTGTATGCAGCACGGCCCGCTGTACACGTTCCACATGTACCTGAGCCAGGGCGTGGCGCTGGTCAAGTACAGCTCGCGGGAGGAGGCCGCCAAGGTACCGCCTGTTGCCACGCATAGGGGTGGGGAGGGCTGGACTTCGGTGGCGGAAGTTGGTTTGGGTGCTGTTTGCCGCTGCAATGGGTGTGGTACCGCTAGGTCTGCGAATTTCCCGTCAATGCAGACGAAATTGAGCGTCGTTCGAGGCGGTCTGGTCGTTCTAGATCCTTCAGGGCCATACTTTTCGCGCGTGCCCGTGAGCTTGTGGAGATTTAGTAATGCTGCCCGTCGTGAACCCTTCGCTGTCGGTGTTTTGCCGTGACTGTGAGGCGGAGCGCTGTCCGCTTTGCGTCCCTCCCACGTGACATGGCTCCACCCGCCCCTGCGGCGACAGGGCCGTCCGACGTCTCACCAGCGCCAGTGCGGACATTAGTATGGACAGTGGATATAACAAGATAACTCGTAACTAACTCGGCAAGGTCGGCAACAACCGGTGCAGGGCCAGGACGTGATTGCACATGCAAGAACATGCTGTGCTCAGACGCCCCCCCCCCCCCTTGCCCCTGCAGGCCCAGGGCGCGCTTAACAACTGCGTGCTGAGCAACACGACCATCATGGCGGAGGCGGTGACGGACGAGTACGCCGGCCAGGTGCTGCAGCAGCTGGGGCTGCCCGGCGGCCAGCCGGCGCCGTCCAGCTCGGCCGGCCCGGGTGCCGGCCAGGCCGCTAAGGCGCCCGCCTCGGCCGCCTGGAGCGACATGGGAGACCCCATCGGTGCGTGGCGGCCCAACCGAGTGTCGGAAGGGTGGGGGGGGGGGAGGGGCGTCGATGCGTGGCAGCCCGACTGAGGGTCGGAAGGGTGGGGGGGAGACCCCCATCGGTGTGTGGCAGCCCAACTGAGTGTCGGAAGGGTGGGGGGGGGGGGGAGGGGGAGACCCCCATCGGTGCGTGGCAGCCCAACTGAGGGTCGGAAGGGCAGGAGACCCCACGGAAGACTCCATCGGTGCGTGGTAGAATTATGTGGTGAAGGTGCGGGTGAGAGTGGGTGGGGTATCGTTGGTGGACCTTGGTAAGAACATGGTTAGAGATACAGAAAGAGGCAACGGGAATTCATGTGACGTGTGTGTGTCGGTGTGTGCCTGGCACGTCTTGCTTAGTGTGGATCATAGTTGTGTGGTTTTTGCTCTGAGAACTACGCGGTGTCGTCCCTTCTAGTATGACCGTCGCAGTACAATTTTTATCAGGGTTGAATCTCTGACACCACATTGAGTGAACTGTATCTATCAGCTATCGTAACACTCCTGAATTTGATTTTCTTCAGAACATTAGGCTTGCCTATACCTCGCTTTGTAGTCGGGAAGCTTGCCAACAGTGACGTTGAAGCGCTCCGCCTGGAGGCGGCCTCGCAAACTCTTACCTACCGGCTCTTTCGACAGGTGGCAGTGGCAACATGGCTTGGAGCAGCGGCACCGGCGGCAGCGGCGGCTCGCTGTGGGCGCCGCCCGTTCTGGAGGAGTCCGGCCGCGGCCCGTACCTGCCGGACGGCCTGCTCTAGACGGACACCCTGACAGGACCCGGTACACGACGGGATGGGGAATCACGGGATCGTGCTTATGGTTGGCTGTCCACCCGCTCATCTGGCGTGACCTCGCCGGTCTGATTGGCCAGAGGCCGCCGCGCCGGCGGTGGTTACGCGCCAGGCGCCGTGGCCACGCCCAACACTCAGTTACTTGGCGGAAAATTCCTGTTTTGTTCCCGATTAGGCGCGTCGGGAGTTTTGCGACGAGGAAGCTATACAACCTAGGCTTAAGGGACGCCGTCCGCTAGCGTTTAAGACAAGTGTGGCCCGCACGCTTTTAGTAGAGTCTCCATAAGTTTTAGCGGCGTCCCGGCCCGCACCAACGACCAATCAGGTGGCGCGCGCGCGGTAGGCCCCGCCCGGCCGCCCGTTGTGATCGCCAGCGGGCTTGTGAGGAGTGCCCCGCGACCCGCTGTGATCGCCAGCGCGCCCGTGAGAAGCTCGCACCGACCGCTCTCAGCCCGGTCCGGCCGCCGCGCCGTCATATCACGCGTGCCAGGGCGTCTCCGAGCTCAGCTGCGGCGCCGCCGGCTCGAATCCCGGCGGAGGCCGAAGTTTTTTGGGTGTGCTGTGTGAGACGTGCGCGATCCGCCGGCCTGGCGCGCGAGCCGCCTCTGTCCGGGTGGGTGGGGGGATCGGGTAGCCGTACAGTATCTTGGTGTTGGTGTGTTTGTGGTGTGGGTGTGACCCTGTTGCTCGTGCCAGTGCCCCTGCCTCCCTCTCCCAGCCTTTCCCCGCCCGCTCCTCTCCGCCCACGGCTGCCGCCGCCGGTACCGAGGCCGCCCGAGAGCCGACGCCGCCGCCCGGCCGGCACGCTCCGCCGCCGGCGGCAGGCCCCCGTGTGATATTAGTGTGTAAGGGAGGGCGCGGCGCCGGCCGCCCTCCGCGTCAGTCTTGCCTCTGTCGGGCCGCGCGCGGCCAGCAGCCTGTGATACCGCCTTCCAGGGCGGCGCCCGGCCGCCCGGCCCGTCGGCGCCGCCACCAAAGAGCGCGAGTGTGTGCGTGCGTGCGAGTGTGCAGCGACCGTGTCGCGCAGTACAAACGTCCCCCTTCAGGTCGGCTGGTGTTTGTCGCCCGGCCCCGGCGCGTCGCGCCGCCCGCCGGCTTGTGCCCGATCTCCGGCCGCCGGCGCCGAACGCTCTCGTCGTCGCGCAGCCGCGGCGCGCTAAGTGCCATCTTTCGGACCAATCGGCAACTGCCGGTGTGCGGCGACTCCACCGGGGCTCAACGCGCGTGTTGGCGGGCGCCACCTTCGGCGCCGCCCGCAGCTTCGCTTTCGCTTTGCTGGCCGGCTTGCCGCCCCGCCGGGGACGCTCCCGCTGTGCCAACGCGGTGCGCGGCCGCCCGCCAGGTAGAACGCTTTAAGTGTGTGTTTCTCAGGCCCACTGCGGGCCGCCGGGAGGGCGCCACCGGGGGCGGCAGCATCGCGGAGACGTGCCGTTGCCGGCCGCCGCCGCGCCGCTGGGGACAGGCTGGCGGGAGGACAATCGCTCGGTCTCGCCAGCGGACGTTCGGCCCAGCCGGCTGTGCGAAGCTGCCCCCTCCCCACCGCTGTTCCGGCGGCGCGCCTCCCGCGCGGCCTCCCCCATTCAGACGGCATACCTCAAGGCTATCGGTAATCTTCCTACGCTAGGGTTAAGCTAGGTGTAAGGGGGCCGACGCGGCCGCGGTGGACGCCGGACCGAGCGCCGCTGGGCCCGGCCGCCGCCGCCGCCCCGCCGGCCCATACAGATAGGGTGGGCTGTGAGGCGGGCACAATGAGCTCGCCCCACGCGCCGGCCACGCTCACGGCTGCTCTGGGAAGACTGGACGGCGGCAGCCCAGTGGAAAACGGGCGCCCAGCCGAGGTTTGAAAATTTTGTCTCGGCCGAGACGCGGTTCCCAGTTCATTTGCAAGTCGGGCCTCTGTTCTCACTGGGCGTTGTGCGTGTGCCAGTTCTGCCGGCGCTACTGACAGCGGCAGCGGCCCGAATCTCGCTCAGCCGCTGGTGGCCGAGCCGGCGCGCGTGACCGCCGGCTCCGGCCCCGGCCCCGGGCCCCCGACCGGCCGCCGTCGGCGCGGCTGGGAGCGGCGCCCGACGCGGCCTGGCGTCTCATGTCGCCGCCGGCGGCGCCACAGCTCTGTGAGGCCGACCCGGACGTGGCGGTCGGCATCCGGCGTCTCTGCGGCCTTGGGCGGCACCGGACGGCGGCCGTGACCCCCTGACCCCTTAACCCCTTACCCTTGGCCTCGACCCCGACCCCTGACCCCTGACCCACGACCCACGACCCACGACCCACGACTACCGAGCCGACCCAGCCGCCAGCAGACCCCTCCGTGGCCTGCTCATGCTGTAGGGCGCTGGCGCGGCTCGGCCGGCGCTGTCGAGTAGGTCTGTTTCAGCCGAGGATCAACTGGACAGGACGCGCGGAGTCAATGGCGATGGAATCATGCAGCTGATGATTTGTGGTGGTGTATGGGGCGGCCTCGGTGCGTCCACCAGAGGAACGGTCAGCTCAGGACGGCTGGTGGTGGGCCTCGCCTCCCGTTTGTCTCGCTCTCTCCCCTCTCCCCTGCCCGCCCGCTGGGGATCTGCGCCTTGGGCCACTGGTGGCAGGCCTTCCTATTGGCTCCGAGCCGGAGAGCGCGCGTCTGTGATTGGTCGGCATCTGTGTCGCAGCCTGTGATTGGTCGAATCGCCTAGTGCGGTCTTCCCGTTCAGTACAAACCCCCGTTACTTAAGCGTAATGGATAGCGAAACAATTTTGTGACATAACTAGGAAAAGCTACAAATCTCTAGACAAAAGTATAAACGCCCAAAATCAGCTGTAATCGGCGCGGGAGCCGCAAGACAGGGTACCGTGCAGTGTTTGCCTGGCGCGCCGCCGCCTGTCTCAAGCGCACCTCAGGGCCGAGAGCGGCGCGCCGCCCGATGCCCGTATCCATGGCGACGCGTCGCGCGGCGGTGCGATGATTGGCCGCCGCTGCTCCTTAGCCCCGCCCCGCCGGGCCGTCCGGCGTTGGGTGTTCAAAACTGCATGCCAAACGCGACATGGTTTGTGCTGGAGGCTGTATTGCTTGTCCGGGGTCGCCCGGCTCTATGCTCGCTTATCTCGCCGGTACTGTACGCCGCCGCCCACCAGTGTGACATTTGTGATATGTTATAGTCGGAGTCGGTGTCGGTGCCGCTGGTTCATTGTTGGTCCGCTGCGCTGCGGTGGGGCTAATGTTTTGGCGGGTGATTCCAGTGGCGCGCCGCACGTGTTCATTCGATGATGTGACGGTGATCAGATGAGATGTACGCGGTTTCCGCCCCCAAAGCGGCGATAGCCATGGCAGCCAACGCACGTGTATAGAAAACGAAGAAAACCACTAAAAATGCTAGGTTAAGGATTTTAGACTAAGTATTGTGTACACGTGACCACGATGAGCTGGACCGTGGGCATTTCGGTGGCGGCCAAAGCGACGCGGCCTGCACTTTTAGTGACTCGCTCGGCGACCGTTTGTCCACGACCATCGGACTGAGTTGGTGCGCGCGTGCGCGTGCGCGGTGTGTGTGGGTTACGGGCGAGAACCAAATCACTGAGCAGGTCAGTGAGTCAGCCGTTTTGTAGATACTATCCTCGTCCTATGCAGACAGTGGTGTGGGGTTGCGCCTGGAAGGCCTCCTGTAACGAGTCCGGTACAAACCTGTGGTGCCTCTGTGACGCCGGTCGCCCCCGCAATACTCAGCGTCACCGGAGCCGGGGCGCCGCACCGGCGGCCGGCTCGCGCCGGGCGGCGGCGCGGCGCACCTGAAGTTGGTGAGTCTGCCGGTAGGTGGCACTAGTCACGCAACGCCGTTGGCCGGCGGTGATACCCCTCATTGGTGGGTTGGTACGCTCTCTCTGTTGGCAGGCTCCGATTTCGTCCGTACTGCGCGGTCCGTTTTTAAAGGAACGAGGTCTCTTTTTATCCCAACTGTATCACGGTATAAATATCAGTATGCATATAATACACAGTTGTCCTAAGTGTTAATAGCGTTTTACTCTGCAACGGTTGCCGCGCCGCGGTCGGTCGCAAGGACCCATTATACAGTGAGAATACTCAACACCACAGTCGCCACCAGTGAGTTTGGATCACAAGTATAGGAATACAGAGCTCGGCGGTATGCCACCTGCCCGGCGCCGGACCCGTCATGTTCCAGTGGGGTAGCCGCATGCTACTCCCACTCCGCTTCCCGAGGTGGTGCGAAGCGGTGGCCAGAGGCCTCAGGCGGGGGCAGAAGAAGCATTATTGTCAGACCCTGCCAGTGAATCCTACCCACTTACCTGCCAACTCTTTACCGATCGGTTCGTGGCGGTGCTCGCCCGCTACGTATCCTGAGTTGTCTGGCTCACCCAGTTATCATTGTCCAGGAGTTAACTCAGAAGCTGGGTTAATGTGAGTTTTCTTGAAGCACTTCCCCGGTGTGGTGTGATTGTGCATGGTTAAGCCCTTACCTGTAACCGAAATCGAAACCGTCAGTTTTGCCAACTGCCTCTGCTATCCCCTTACCCATCCTCCATAGACTTCTGAACGTACCTACCTGGCGCGGGCCTTGAGTGTGGGGCGTGACCCGTCCGGAGCCGGGTGGTGCCTCCGCAGTGGGCGTCAGGGGACCACGCCTGCATCAGCGCGGCGGCCTGGCGCGGGTCGCCGACGCTCCAGCCGGGACCAGTGGCCTGGTGTCGCTCTCCAGGACGGCGTGCCGGCGCGGCACGGGGCTGCGGCGGCGGTACACGAGTGACGCCGTTCAGCGAGGTCAGCGGTGGACACTGCCGAGCAGGCCGACGAGTGTCCCTTTGGGCCGGCCGGCGGACGGTGCCTGCTCAGTGGGGCCCGTCCGCGCCGTCCCCGTACACCGCGGCGGGTCCCCTGTCGCCAGGATGAAGCCGCGTGTTGGAATGACGCCGCATGAAAAATGGAGCGCGGTCACCGTCTCGCTTATATCGCCGCGAGAATGGTCTTAGTTTAGTTCAGCTTATGGCGATTACATCCTCTGCACACTACCAGGCCTTTCATGACCCAAGTCAAGATTATTGATAGCAAACTGCCGAGGGGGGGTTGTGTGTCGACAACCCCAATCCGAAAGCAAACTCGCAGTCCTCACAATCCAACCCATTTACAACCTACAAATCAGAACAATGGGGGTACACTCAGCTCAACTGACCACCCTGGACCAGATGGTAAATCACGTCCGCCTTGAAGCGAGACACGTGTCGTGTGGTTTGCGTGACGGTCGGCGGGCGGTTAAACAATTTGACAGCCTCGTGCCTGAGCACTCGCGCGGGTTAAACTTGCAGTGTACGCACCGTGCCGGGACATCCGATCGGGCTACGCGTCGGTGTGTGTTGTTCCAGTGCCGACCGCCGTTCGCCGGGGGCAGTTGACATCCCGAGCTCAGGGATCACTGGATGGGATCGAGCGATCTGGTCGGTTCCGTCCCGCGCCGCCCCCTCTGCCGCGTGGGGCCCACAGGAGACCGGGGTCGGAGCAGAAGCACAGCAAAAGACTCCGACGGGATCGAAGCAAAAAAAAAGATGCAAAAGTCGTTGCATTAAGTGCAGTGACAGCGACGGAGACGGTAAAAAGGAGGAATGATTATCCAATGGTGAATACACCACTCACTCTCCTCTGTCCCGG